TTATTCCTGCGTCTTTTGTGATCTTACAAAGCTTCAAACGACGCGTCGACTATTAAATCAGTCGTCGACGATTTTGATAGTCGACGTAATCGTGACTAGTCGACTAATCGTGGCAGCCCTAGTGGTAAGTGTGCTGTTGGTGCGATCTGTTCGAGCTCAGGAGACGCTTCAGACCGCCGCCCGCTGACCCGCCTGCGTGCGCTCTCACACGACTCTGTTTCTCTGAAAGCGCTCGAGCGGGCTGTGGCGGCAGCTTCTAGCATCTCCCTCTGGGGGCCAGTTCCCCTCACAGAGGCGCATGATTGCAAAAAGAACACGTCACGACACGACTGAGGGTTTTCCAGGTGGTTTTCCACCGCGGGAACATCTCTGTGCCCGTTCCTGGGCTGCCAGACACAACAAAGTACCACCTCTGGGCGTGGGTAGGTACTTCCTGGGCGGGCCTCGATGCTGATGGGGTAAACTGATCACAGCGAGGGCCATCTTTAAAAACATGTCAGGTGAAGAAGAGCAGAGCAAAGGGAAAAAAGCTTAAAAGTCAGAAACGCAGCGATCGAAATGACGAATCGTAACACAGCAGGTCGTTTTTAAATTGTTCTGCAGCCGTCGTTCTCTGAAACACTTCTGCAGCTTTGCCTTACCTTTAAACATACACTAGTTTTAGCCGCGTGGACAGGATGTAACAGCACGACCACCTGAGGTCTGCTAACCACCGTGATTAAAATACTGCACAGAAGACAGAAACGAGCGCAGCTGTCGAACAGCGCTGACGTGAACAGAGTTCAAACTTGGAGGTGAGGCTCGTGTTTCAGGTTTCAGAGCAGGGCAGGGTCCGGTTTGTGTTGGCCTCTGCTTTGGATGCGGGAACTGACAGAGGTCACAGTGTTCTGCACACGGTTCAGTGTTCCATCTGAAGGACTCTGAACTTTTCCTCCCAGGAATCTTTTCAAGGAAAAGACTGGAGACAGCTCGCTGACACAAACACCTGGATGTTACAAAGTATCAATGTTCCTCTGGATGTAGCGACGTCGCTACATCCAGAGGAACATTGATACTTTGTTATAGTTTTTGAGAAACATTTAGCCAATAAGAGTAAATGTATGTTTACAGTACGGTGCTGGGATGGGGCATGACTCCATGAGCTCTAAAAAGTAGATCTGGGTTTGTACCAACCCCGAAGTTTATGAGCGTTTCACTGGCGAACAGCACCGGACCGATTTTGGTCCCTGGAGGGTTCCTCGTTCCTGCGGTGCAAAAGCAGCTGCTCTGTGCCAGTTCTCCATCCTGCTCCCTGCAGAGCCCACAGGTGTGTGATCTACCTGCTTTAAAGCCCGCGTGTTCTCAGAGTTACTTACTCCCACGCTCTGCTGTCAACGCTTGGCGACGCGTCCCGAACCGAGCGCAGCAGACGTGTCGGTCAGATGTCAGCAGCACAGATCCACAATCTGCTGTGGTTTTGTCTCAGGTGCAGGCCGCCGCCCAGCCAATCAAAGTTCCTCAGTTTGTCCCGCCTCCTAGACTGACGCCTCGACCCGCCTTTCAGCCACAGGTGCGTCACTGTGAGACCCGCCTCTGAACCCTAACCCCCTCAGATCAGTGTGTGTGGCCCACCCGACGTGGCGTGCTCACTCTCCAGCAGAGGGCGGGAGCGCGCCGAAGCAAACGCTCATGCCTTGCTCCGTGGCACTAAAACATTGTTTTCTGTGTGCTGCCTCTTACTCATCACTTCTCCTCTCGTTGTGCTTCTTTTAATTTCCGACTGACCTGTGAGCAGGTGTTTTTGGAGGTTTCCTGCCTGTGTACCAGTGTCTTTTACCTTTCTTTGGTCAGAGCTTGTTTCCTGCAGCTTCTTGGTATTTTTGTGTTTCTGGCTGTCGGTGTGTTTTAACCCTTCCACTGGAGGAACGTGGGCGGTGTTTGTGCTGAGTAACGCCACCGGGAGCTCGGGCTCAAACATCAGAGTTAGGCCTCAGAAGTCGTCCTACCAGGAGCAGCGTTTGTCTGTTAGCTCAGAACAAATACTCGAGTACTTCTGTATGAAGTTTGAAGGGTTGGGCTTATAAAACTATTAAATATTGTTAACAATATTACGTTTTGTTTTTTTCCCTCCACCAATCACGTTTGACCTTATTGGTGATTTTTTTATCTAATGTGTTTTTGCATTTTTAATAAGTCTATACGATTCGTGTCCTTTCTGTCCTGCCAGCACATCGTTACATGTGTACAGTGTATCTTATACTGTTAGAGTTTAATGACAAAATGCTTTATAAAACATTAAAGCTTTGCAGTGCCTGTACCTCTGAAGCCCCGCCCCCTGTCTCACTCTGAAGGGCTCATCTCACCTTATTCCCTGAAAGTGAGCTGTAGGTGTGGTTAAAGACTGGGACTTTGGAGGCGGGGCTTGTGTGGTAGCAGAGCTGGCACTGCTGTATGATGTGGTGTATCTGTCTTTTTTGATTTAATACATAAAAATAAATGAGCTAATGTTTGTAGCATTCCTCTGCTTCAGCAGTAGCAGTAAAGGTAGGCTCAGTCAGGCTGAGGTAGAGCTCCACAGTGGCGTTACCTGGCAGTATCAGGTCATTTTTGTGCCGATTTGTGATTGGCTGTGTGTCGTTATCAGGTCCGGCCAAAGCTGACCACGCCCACCAATGTCCCTATTGCACCGGCCCCTCCCCCACCCATGATGGCGGCCCCCCAGTTGCTGCAGCGGCCCGTCATGTTGGCCACTAAGCTCTCGTCCTCGCTGTCGTCGTCGGCGCCCATCCACCAGGTCCGCATCGTCAACGGCCAGCCCTGCAGCAAGACCGGTGCCGCCCCGCTGACGGGCATCGTCATCACCACGCCAGTCTCCGCTGCACCCAACCGCCTCGCCAGCCCCGCCCAGGTGCCCCTGCCCACCCCTGTCCCCACTCAGACTCCGGTCCAGCCGATCCAGATCAGCAGCCTGACCACTGAGCCCAAGGTAAGGTCCTGCGTTAGTACTGCACTGTTTAGCACAGCAGGATCTGAAATATTTTAATCGTGGTCTTAAATTTTACTTTCAGAAACCTTTGGATAGTTTTGTAGTTCTGATGTTTAAACAATAAGGCGATGACCTTAAAGATTTAAAGGTGGCGCTCGTGTGCCGCTGCTCCTCCGACACGCTGTAAAGGGCTGTGTCCAGCGCTGAAAGGTTGGATATCAGTTTTAGTTCATTTACAGGTTAGGGTTATGTGCCAGTATAGCACCCCCCTGTGGTGATTCAGGTAACTACAGCACTGAAACGAACAGGCCTCTCAGACTTCAGCAGGGTCTGTTTTTGCCTCTAAAAGTACTGAAGTATTTTATAAAGCTGGTGTCTGTATAGACGAGGAGAACCTCACCAATGATCTGCTTTTACTCGTGGATCCGGCCCGCACGTTTAAATCTCTGCGCTGCTTTCCCGACAGCGGTGATCAGAGGAAACGTACCTGCTCTCCGGCTGGAGCATCGGGCAGCTAGACGCTCACAGCTTGTTTGGGTATCGTTAGTATGTTAGAATTGATGATTAGTCAGCGCTGCAGAGCTGCGTGCGGGGCGTCGTCTGCTCGTGTCTTACTGTCACACCCTCTGAAGGTCCCGTGTTTGCAGCTGATGGGTTCTTACTGGAGTCTGGACGCCTGTTCGACCCTCGGGTCTTTGAACGATGGCGCTGTGTCACATTGGTCCGTGTTATTGAAGGAGGCCGTGTGGAGGCCTCTGCTTCTTTCTTCAATGAAAAACAGAAAATAGAAATAATGAAAACATAAAGGAATGTTCTCTTCTGTGACTTAAGCTCGCCATCTTCATCTCGTCTTCTCTCAGCAGACTGTTAAACCGGGAGGAACAGAGCAGCACGCCGTCGTCAGCCTCCCGTCCTCCTCCTCAATCGCTCCTGTGTCTCCTCCTCCCAGGCCCCCCAAGAAAGAGGAGAACCCAGAGGTATGACCCACAGAGGGACACACAAGTCGTGTATTTTCTAGCACAAATCACTGAACCGTTTCTCTGTCGTCACACGTTTCACCTGCAAATTCTAGATATTAATATCTTTAAGTAAATGTTATTGTTATTAAAACATATTGTTAGCATATTGTAGTTCAAACGTACACACACAGGCTGATGTTATGAAAGGAGATAAAGGCGCACGATGTTCCCAATGATCCAAAACCCCAGAAAAAGCTGTTTACCAAACTTTTATTTATGCAGCAGGCGCCTCAAGGTGTTTTATATTATTAGACCCTAAAATAACCCAGAGAAACCCAACAATCATATGACCCTATGAGCAGCTCTTTGGCGACAGTGGGAAGGAAAAACTCCCTTTTAACAGGAAGAAACCTCTGGCAGAACCAGGCCCAGGGAGGGGCGGGGCCATCTGTGGGTGGGGCTTCATTGTGTGCCTGGGTGGGGTTTGAGAGCGAGAAAAGAGGCATGAGAGGAGCTGCTTTACTGCATCGATATAAAATACTTTCATTCTGCATCTCATTTGAAAATGTATCATTTTAAAAAGATGGATTTATGTGTCAGGACGTTCTCCTGCAGATGTTTACGTTGATGCTTGGAGCACGTTTTGCTACCGCACAACTTTGTTGTTGTACCAAACCTGCCAGCGTGATGATTCACCTGCTGTGTCTCCTTTAGAAACTGGCCTTCATGGTGTCCTTGGGCCTGGTAACACACGACCACCTGGAAGGTGAGCGATGCTTTCAGTCTTGGTGTCGTGAAGCTGCTGCGTGAGCAAACATCTGCAGGAAACGCTGATGTGTTTTTATTTGCAGAAATTCAGAGCAAAAGACAGGAGCGTAAGAGGAGAACGACGGCCAACCCAGTGTACAGCGGCGCCGTGTTTGAACCCGAGGTACGTCCCAGACTCCCGTTTACGTTTGTGAATTTAGAGTCAAGCAAAGTGCGATGACACGTTTACGAGTTTGGGTTGATTAAAGTAGTTTTCACCAATATTTTGCCTGCTGAGCGACTTAACAACGTTTTTCTCTTTTGTTTCAGAGGAAAAAGAGTGCAGTGAGTTACCTGAACAGCCCTCTGCACCAGGGGACCAGGAAGAGAGGTCTGTATGAAAAACAGACCAAAGATGATGGAAATGACAGTAGAAACCAGTAGAGACTGAACGATGCATGACAATAGAATCAAGCAGAGCTACAGTAGAGACGATAATCAGCTGAGAGTCGTGGCAGAGCTGCAGAGAGGAGTGTGTGTGTGTGTGTGTGTGTGTGTGCGCTTCATTGAGTGGAAGAAGAGTAGAAACAGTAGATCAGTGTCTGATCTGATGCTCGGTGCTAATAACGTGCTGTGAAACTTTTCTCCTGCTTCTGCTTCCTGTCTCTGTCGCTTCAGTCGGGTTTCTGTCTAAAGCCGGATTCATGCTCACTCGTCCTCGAGGCTCTGAAGCTTCAAACGGGCTGAAACGCGCCCGCGTGTCGCGTCATTTAGTGCCGATGATGTCAGGTTTCATTCGCAGACTAAACGCAGACATGTACCCTCTGAAACGATGCCGAGGTTGGTGATCAGAGCTGTGGAGCCTCCGATGAAGGAGGATGAATCCGGTTAGACCCTCTGTTTTCTCTGGGAAGAGCTGAAATGCATTCTGGGAATTGTAGGAACACCCTGACTCCCAGTTAACGCCCATGATGTTTGTTTGCTGGGAGCCACGCCGCCGGTAACACGACTAACGGTGTTTCTGATTCGATAACATCACATTTTCCGACAGTCGAGCTGCAGACGTCGTAACGCTAGACGCTAACCTCACGCGCAACTCGTGGTGTCAGATTTTAACACGCCCTGAAAGAGGCGGAGGAAGACTCTGCACTGATGTTGGACTGTTCCTTCGCCCTCCAAACGCTGGCCTCGGGTTTCCACCTCGCTGCAGCCGCTCTCTTATTCATCTCTTGCTGTTTGTCTTTTAACTTCGGGTCTTTGTTAAGCCAGTAACGGGCTCGCAGGTCGGCCCGACTGAGCGCCCAACCCACGGCGTGCCTGTCGGGTCCATGCATCTCATACCCGTATTAAGCCGTTTTATGACTTTTAAGTGGCAACAGGCTGAGCCGCTCGTGCCGAAGAGGCCCGGAAGTCGAAAGACAAAAAGGCGAGGTGGGAACGCGAGGTCGGCACCCGGGGTGTTGACGTCTGACACGAGTCCACGGGCAGCTTTGTACTAGAGCTTGGCGTCAGCTCGCTCGGAGCACTAACCCTGCTGTCTGTGCTTCTGACTCCTCCTCTTCCTCCTCTTCCTCTCTCACCCTGACTCATGCTAGCCAACGAAGACTCCCTTTCCAAGGTATGTCATACAGACTGTTTGTTTTTGTTTTCTCCCCCCTCTCCATCTTTCTTTTTTTCTTTGTTTTCCGTCTTTGTCGTCTGTCTCATTTCACCCAGGTCGTCCACCCAAATACAGCAGCGTCCCGGACCTGGTCAGCCTCACCCCGACCTCCCCCTCCAGCCCCGTCCATCCCCTCCCCCTGCCCAGCCCCAGCTCTGGGGATGTAAGTAACGATGGGGGAGACGGACAGCTCAGAGGGTTGGACGCCCCGTCACACACGGTCCTTTTGGCCCAGTAGCTCTGTCACCATTTGCACTCCTCCATTAGTTTGTCGTCTCCATGACACTCATCCGCACTCATCACTTGATTTTACTTTGACTCAGCCTTACAAAGTGAACAGAGTCCTGTAGCGTCATTGATAACTACTGCAGAGCACATTCTAACTCCCCTGTGTGGGCTCAGTCGATTAACACAACACACCATGTCATTAGAACAAGCCCAGACTGTAAACTAAACCAGATCACGGCGCCCCCGCCTTGCCTCTGCGCTGATGGTTGGTGGGGAAACTGATTGGTCCAATTCTTCCTCACAGGGAGACATCCATGAGGACTTCTGCACTGTGTGCAGACGCAGTGGCCAGTTGCTCATGTGCGACACGTGTTCTCGTGTTTATCACCTGGACTGCCTGGATCCACCCCTGAAAACCATTCCTAAAGGCATGTGGATCTGTCCAAAATGCCAAGATCAGGTAACCGCAGCAGACTGATCCTGAGTCAGGGGGAAGGGGGTACTGCAGTCCAGACTGTGCAATGTGCTTCCGGCGGGCCTTCTGCCACGCTGGCCTGAACTTTAGGACTGTTCGATCCTTTGTAAGCAGAAACGTGATGCAGTATTGTTCTTTTGTGCTTCTGTCTCATTCATTGTGTAAAGATCTGCATCTCACATCCATCCACCCCATTGCTCGTCCCCGTATCGGCCCCACCGCAGGGTGGTGGCTAAATTTGTCTCCCTGAACTCTTTTCCGAGCTTCCGCCTCTGTGAAAACTCCCAGCTTCTCTCTCCAGATCCTGAAGAAAGAAGAAGCCATTCCCTGGCCCGGCACCCTGGCTATCGTTCATTCCTACATCGCTTACAAAGAAGGTGACGGCAGCTTTTGCTCTTCTCGTGTGTCGCGTCTGCCGGGACCGGCGAGCTCTGACCGACTCTCCCGTCTTTGTCTTGCAGCTAAAGAAGAGGAGAAGCAGAAGCTGATGAAGTGGAGCTCAGAGCTGAAACTGGAGCGAGAGCAGCTGGAACAGAGAGTCAAGCAGCTCAGCAACTCCATAACAGTGAGCTCAGCGCACACGTTTATGCCTCGGTCCAGTCTCCAGTCCCTCGTTCATAATCTGTGCAGCGCTAAAGTTATCAAAAGTTTTGGCTGTGAGCTGGCTCAGCAGGGGGAAGACTGTCAGCTGCTGTGATGGCCATGTTTTTTGTGTTTGGATGTTGGATAAAGCACCGCGATGCTGCATTGTGAGAGAAAGTTTGTATAATTACCTGTCAGGTCCTGAGCGATCTGCCTCAGGGATGCTGAGTCGGGCTGGTAAGCGATGAAAAGAAGACAGGACAGCTCGTCGTGCTGTAACTGTATTGTTTTAGAGCTATTCTCCGGCTTCACGTTAAATTCCAGCATCAGCAGCGACGAGCGGGACTGTGTGCCGTAAACGAGCACAGCTCCAGGACAGACGCTCGTCCTCACGGCCGTCACAGTCACAGGGTTTTTACTGTTGTTGCAGTTGAATGCCTGCCGCCAACTTCAGCCTCTGTGAATTGTCACTGCTCTCTTTATTTGAGGAGATGAAACTAAAACCTGTTTTCATTTTTTCAGAAATGCATGGAGACCAAAAACACCATCCTGGCCCGCCAGAAGGAGATGCAGCTCTCCCTGGACAAAGTCAAACACCTGATTCGCCTCATCCAAGCCTTCAACTTCAACCAGGCTCTGGCAGAGACGGAGGGCAAAGACATGAGAGTCCCGGACAGGGCTGAGGCCGCGGTCAGCTCTGAAGCTCCGCCCAAAGTCAACTCGGCGGAGAAGGTGAAGGCGGGGAGCTCCTTGGCCAGCGTCATCACCGAAGGGAGCAAGCCCGAGGAGCACGGAGCGGCGGGGAGCCACCAGACGGGCGGAGACACCTCCGGCCAGCCCGACAGCACAGTCCTAACGGCAGATAGCGGCACCGGCGTGGGGGTGGACGGAAAAGCGGGGCTGGGGGGAGGGGCTAACACGGGGACTGGTCTCCAGGCGGAGATCGTAGCCAAGCCTGAGACTGAGGTAGCCGCGGCAACTAATGTTCCCGCTTCTTCGGCCGTTGCCACCACCAACGGCACAGCCGAGCCAGCCCGTCCCGATCAGAGCCCCGGCGGAGGCCACGGCGCCAACGCCGCCACCGGCTCTGAAAACAAGACAGCTGCCGTCAACCCCCCAGAGACGCCGGCAGAGAAGAAACAGGAGGAGATCACCGGAAGCGATGGCAGCAACACCAACAACAGCAAAACCTCAGAACCCTCCCAGCATTCTTTGCCAGCTCTCGTCAGCAGTTTGGACAATAAAAAGTAACGCGGCGTCTCTTCAGTCGGGGAATTCAAACATATATATTAAAAAAAAAGACTCTTGCTTGCACCGTGTGGTGCCCTGAAGTTGCCAATCTGTATAAATGTTGTTTGTTTGCATTGTATTGTCAGACTGTGTCAATGGTAGATATACAGCCCAAGTCACGTGACTCTGGGAAGACGTAGGCCGTTCCACCCACTGAGCTGGGGTACAGGAAGGCGTGCGCACCAGTGTCATCATGCCAATTAGTGATAGACGTCATGGTGGGAATGCTCAAAGGGAGATTTAACTCATCATCACACCAGTGTGTGCCTGTTACAGTGGCCCCTGTTCCCTGCGAGGTGGGGAGACGGTTCACATGGGCACGAAGAACGCCGAGAACGTGGAGCCAAACATCTGTCAGGGGTTACTGGTCTAAAGCAGTGTTGTGATAAATGAACCTGTTCGTGCCCTCGTCCCAACGAACTTAATGTGAACGACCATGAACCTTAACCATCCGTCCCGACCTTCCCGATCGTCCGATCCTCGCCCGGCCGGCCTCCGGATCTCTTCGGTGGAGAGAAACCCGTGCGTCCCTTCACCCCTTCACTGTGAAAAGGCTTCAGTTTGCTTCAAACACAGAGTGGTGCCAACCACAGGTGCTGCAGATGCAAACAGTCCTAGAAATCTGGATCACGTCGCATCTGGGTGTTTTTGATCGGAAGTCAAACGTAGTGGTCTGTGAATTACGGTGAACTTTGCAGAGAAAATGATGCGTTAGCCAACACCGCTCACGCTGAGCGGCCTAACTTACCTTAACCCAGGTACCCGACAGCTGGGTACAAACAACTGTTGAAGGGAGCGAAAGATAAAAGGCTGAAAATGGGATTTTCAGTCCGTCCTGATTAACAGCTCTGAAAATCATACCTTAGACTGATAACCTTCGATATCAGCCAGAGACCTCCTCAGACATCGTCTTTTTAAAGACGGCGGTTGGCGCTTTGAAGCACGCGGCTGCCTTGAAGGTGACGGGTCTGACTTTCCAGATGAGACTGATTGGCAGCATGTCGGCTCATCAAACCACACGTGCACCTGGTGGTGTAAACCCGGGCTCACCTGCCCAGGTCCGAGAACAATACACAACATTATTGCAGAAACCTTAAAGGCCTCGGCATCGTCGCTCTTTTGAAGCACACTGACGCCTTTGGAAAGACTTCCCGAGCGATCCATAATCCCTACATTATTCCCACTCGCAGTCACCCGGTAACCAAACGGCCCATCCTCTCCCCATCTCCTCCCACCTGAGCTCAGGCAGCAAAGATGCCGAGCGGCGCGTTCGACAGGTACAAAGGACGAGGTCGAACAGGCTCGGTAGCCGAACAGATGTTTTCAGTGGTGTCGGTCAAGTGTAGTGATTGAGTTTTCATTCGTGAGTCAAGTGTGTCAACTGTGAGCACTAAATGTGAAATTGCAATACTGCAATGTCAACACACACAAACTATATCTGGGCTGTGTTTCTTTTTTATAGGAAAAGATATTCAGGTCTTCCTAGTCTTCTTCAGAATAAGTGCTTTCTGTTCCTGAACCTGCTGGACTGGCATTATCCACACACAAAGGAGTCCTCTTTTTGAAGCGGTCGTCTTTGCATCGTGTGCGTTTCTGTTGAATCCTGAACTGCCAAAACGACATACCCAAATTCAGCAGGGACAAGTCCACTTACTGTATCGAAAGATCAAATCACCGGCGTTGTAAGATATTTAGATGCTACCATTTCAGAAATTGGAAGTCCCCAGATTGAGACAGGAGAGCTTACTAAACAATAACATTAAAGGAACTTTTTTCCTTCAAACGGTTTGTCGTACGAAGCTGCTCCTTCCGACGGATCTCAAAGGACGATAATCCTGAGATTAAAGCACAAGCTTGCTGCATTACAAAGAAGTGCTGAAGAGCTTTTTGTATGTTAATATGGAATTAAACAGAGTATGCATCTCTTTGTTGTGATGTGACTTATCCCCCACATTGCCAATATTTTTCTCGGAGGACACACAAACCTCTGTCTGACGTGCGTAGTTCCTGTTTTTGGGTGGAGCGGCCCGAGAAGCGCCTTCGTCCCCTCGCGGTCAGACACGTGCGTCTCTTTTCTTTCGGTGTGGCCGAAGCACGACGCTGTCGTTTGTGGCTGTCGGTTCAGGTGGGTCTGCTGAGCCGATCACTGCTGGCTTCTTGTTGGGAGCGAGGCAACGACGGCGCCTCTGGTTGTGCTGGAATTTCTGTTGCTTTCTTTCTTCGAGCTGTTGTGGAGCATCGTTGCCCAGGTTTCAGTCGCCCGGCGGCGTCTTCACCCCTGAGTGCCGACGCCGTTTGTTTTCTGTGATCGTGCACGTTCGCTGGGACTAGAGCTCTGCTGTGTGAGTGGCTGTGATACCCTGTAGGTGTGGGGTAGGCCCAGCAGCAGAGGAGGACGAGGAACACGAGGAACACGTGAAGGTGGCCGCGTGTTTCAGCCTGTGTTGCTTACTGATGAAACATCAGTAGTTGGACTTTCCTGCTAACACCTGTACGGTCTCTGGAGTGCTGATAGAAGGCGTTTAGCGACGTGCACGTGGCGCTGACCGCAGAGGTGAACACGCTGCAGGGCGACTGCGGGTGACCGTTAACTTCATATCACTACGACCAAGTCGGCATATCTGACACCCGGTGTTCTCGTATACAGACTGCCTTCATTCAGAAGATCCCACAGAAACGTTTCCATGCGTTCGGCCGCCGTGTCGCGTTTTATGCCGTCGGTCTGACGAGCTCGGCCATTCGAACACAGATGGGAAAGAAGAGCCAGAAAAAAGAAAAGAAAAAAGGCAACTAAGGTGTCCCCGGGTCCCTCTGAGTATCATTCGTTGTGTGTTTCGTTGTTCGTCGGCGTTCTTCACCACGCGAGGCTGTGTTCACTCATGGGTAGAGCAGAGTAGTCATCGAGTCTCAACAAGGTTTTCTTTCAAAGAGCCCGAACTTGTGTTCCAGTCAGACTGGACCTCTCCCTCTGTACAGTAGGTACCTCGAGTGCCTTTCTTCAAACAGCAGATAATATTTGTCTCTTGACTTGCACTGTGACTTGTAGAACCTTACTAACCCCTCCGTATGACCCTCCGGTCCCCCGTCCCAGGAGCTCCCCCCAAACTCCGGAGCACAAACTCGGTCCCTCCACCTCAGGCTGCCAGTAGTCAATGCAAGTTAAATCTACATTTCATATATGATGCCGTTTGAAATCGACCGCATAGTGTTTTGTTGATGTTTAATAGAGGAGTTGCCTTAAATGTGTTTTGTTTTCGTTTTTTTCTGTGATTAACTTTTCCATTCGGAGAAAAAAAAAACACCCGTGCAGACGCGAAGGTCAGAGGTCGTCTGGTGAGAAGCAGTCGGGGTTTTCCCGGCGATGATGATGATGATGACCTGCTCGGAGCTGTGTTGTGATGCACTTTTTGATTTGACCAGTATTATCGGACCGGGATCGGTCAGCAACGCAGAGCGCAGGTGTGAATCCCGGTTCCCCGGATTTCCTGGCTGGACTCGCGTTCGTTTTATTTCGAAAGGTCCATCGTTGCTTCTGCACTGTTCTGGTTCTTCTTTGGCTTCAGATAACGCCCGAGTTTGCTAAATCAGGTCACATGAGGCGTCTGGCATGATCAAACTTTGACCCGATTAAGAGCATCTGTCAGTGCAGCGGCGGCAGCGGAGTGCATGACTTTTTATGCAAACTTTGATAATAGACGTGTCGAAACGTTTTTTTTGATATGCATCTGCTTTTATTTTTACGTTTTCATGTGAAACTCGAGTCACTTTCTTTTCTTTGGGCGTTCTGGCAGACACGGATGCCAGAGCGCGCCGTTTAGGTGTTAAACGTTGCAGCGATCATCTGCGTTCAAAGGGTTTCTTCAGAATCAGAAGGTTTTTCCATGGATGTATGAAGAAGAACTGGACACCTGTTCTCCACTGACACGCTGCCGTTTGTGGGGCGGTCCTACCGCAGAACGCTTACCGGTGATTGGTAGAAGTAGCCTGTGGATTTGGAGTAACGTCACCCCAAGTTCGACCAGCGCTTGGTTCAAACATGAACGCAGTCGACGGATTGTGCCCGCCGCTAGTTTCTTTCTGGGAAGTTACCCAACTTTGACCTCATCAGCACCTTGTCAGTGGAACGCAGGAGGAAGATCATCGAAAAAGTAGCCCTAGCTTTGTCCGGCTCGTGGGTTAACAGAGAGAAATCGCTGCTGTGATTGGTTCTGCTTTGTTCAATGACTGTTTGATTCATGGCTTGGCCGAGGTTTAGGTGATGCCGGGCTACAGAGCAGGAGCTCTGTGGGGGAAAGGAGGCATGCGTTAGGCCTGAGTGTCTGCCCTGCATCAGCTCTCTGGATACATCCATGGGTTTAGGTTCTTCGTTGTAGTCTTGATTTGGCTGATGCGGCGTGCTGACTGTTGGGATCCCAGCAGAGCTGCGAAGGTTCGGGGAGGAAGGCTCTCTAAATTGCTTCTCAGTTTCGATTTCGCCGAGCCGTCCGGGTGAACTTATCCAAAGAACACTGAGAGCATACATTTCGTCTCTGCATATCATACGGATGTCGTTTTCCTGCGTTGGCATCGTGCTCGTGGTCACATTAACCGCTCATGCATTCTAAAAAAACAAAAGACTGTGCTGGGGGGTCGTTCCTGCGAGGTAGTTTGCTCCGACTTTTAAGTTGTATCAGTTTTAAAACGATCAAGTCATGATTGTGGCCTTCTAGTATTCTGTCGGTACATGACGTCATTAATCTCTCGTGCCCGCCCATCTGTCTGGACCCAAACGTACACCTGCAGCTTCTTACCTCATCCACAGCTGATTCCATCGGGGTGTGTTTGAGTGCAAAAAAAGAAAAGTTCAAAAAAAGAAAAAACAAAAGTCTTTTTTTATCTTCCATTTGGTGAGATGCATTGTAGCGATATGAATAAAGAAAAAGTTCACCTGGTGTGCTGAATAATGTGTAAATTGGTAATTACACAATCTGAATATTTGTATAATTGTTTGTATTTTTTCATAATGATTTTGGAAAGGAATGTGTTTATTTTTTTGACTTCTGTTCCAGATGTGTCTTCTGTTGGCCTGACATTGTGACTGGTCTGGTGGGATTCTTACCTCTGTATTGAGCCTCTTCTGTGATGAATTCTTTGTATGCAGTGTTTAGGAAATACTGTAGGGAACATGGGGAGGAGTTGATATTAGGAGCATTTGATCAATTTGTATTTATTTATTTTATCATTTTGTTAATAAATTGTGAAAAGCAGACCGTGTGGTGCCTGCCTGTTTATTTTGGTTTTAAGAAAGAAGCCACATTCATTAAGAACAAATGTTTGTATAGTCCCTAACAATAAAACCGCCGGCCCCTGTATTACAAATGAGAATATTTTTCCTTTTTTTTTAAATCGTTTTTGCCTTTTAATTTGATTCGTTTCGTAGCTTTTGAATTATGTATATTAGATTTTCGTATGTTTTCTTCCAGATATTTGCGGACTGGTGAGATGAAATGAAGAGAAGGCGTACAGCCTTTATTTCTCCTGTCTCTGTGAAAAATGTCAAAGTAAATTAGCCGATGTGGGGCTGCTGTCTGAGACTCAAACACAGACGCTGTGGATGTGAGAAAAGATAGAAATGTTTTGCTTTTTCTCGTTTCTAATCGGGAGCCTGCTCGGGTATTCTCGCTGGAGATCGGACACAAAGGAAGGTGCTCGTCACACACACTGTAAAAACACGAGAGTTCAGCTCTGACTGAATCCCGAGTCCGCTTTTAAACAACGACGATGACTTCCTGTGGTTAGTCGTCCCGCGGCTCCGTGCGCGTGTGGCGAACTGGCCAAACCCTAAAAACTAAACTCCCGCATCTGAAACCCGCCAAAGAAGAGAAGCACCAATCAGATACGGGCGTCGTGGTGTGTGATCTTTATATACAGACCCGCGAGGCCTCTCCCACGAGCAGCAGAGTGGCGCAGCGGAAGCGTGCTGGGCCCATAACCCAGAGGTCGATGGATCGAAACCATCCTCTGCTATGGATTTGCTTTTTTTTCACTGAGCTCCGCAGACATTTACCTCGTGGACGCGGCGGAACAAACTGCTGAAAACACGATCGAACTTTTTCCATATCAGGCTGAACAAACCGGCAAACGTTCGCCCGAATGTGTAACTGCACTAAAAGATGAGACGTGGCGCCCCCTGTCGGAGGTGGGGGGCTAATGCCGCTGGAGGTGTTGAAGACCTGAGGAGCCAACCCGCCTGACCGGGGCATCAAAACACCAACAAGCCTCCATCCATCAGACGCTTAGAGAAGCTCAGGAGGAGCTGCTCTGTGTCTCTGTGGATCCAGAGAAAGCATAAGAAAGGACAGCTGGAAGGTGGAGGTCAACCATCCACAGGCAGGTGAAGAAGGGAGTGCAGGCAGGGTGGAGACCAGTGTCAGCCATGAATGGTTTGCAGACGGTGGAGGTCAGCATGTGCAGGGGGAGACTGGATTTGTTAGACAAAGGATGATGAAGATGGAGAAGAGGAGGGCCTCGGAGTAGGCTCATGGATGTGGTGAAGGAGGACGTGCAGAGGGTTGGAGTGACTGAGGAGGGGGTGGAGGCCAGTGGTGGAGATGGACATTTTTCTAATGTCTGTAAATAAATGAAGGAAACCTCAGCATCTTTCATCCCAGCTGGAACGTACCAAGTGTCACTTATGGGGAGGGCCGATGGAGATGATGAACCATGAGTCGGCCTTGTTTCTGTACGCTGATCAGTTTTGTCATCAGTGTGTCTCACAGCTGATCAGCTGTATCGATCCTTCCACGAGACAGAAATGTCCCAGTGACGGAGGCGGTGAAGTTGCATTTAAAAAAATGTGTTTGTCCTTCGCTTAAGAAAGGGAATGTTGTGTGTGTGTGTGTGTGTGTGTGTGTGTGTGTGTGTGTGTGTGTGTGTGTGTAGGTGTGTGTGTGTGTGGGGGGGGATCCTCGGCGGGTCAGCAGCCTGCAGCTGGCCGGGGATGAGCGCTGACAGGCGGACTGAACTGCACCCAAAGCCGCCTGCCCGCCTCCTCTCCCGGCCTCCAGCCTCCGCAGGCATTCGGTGAACTTTAATTTTTGCGCACTTGCTTTCTTCCGTTTTTCCATGTCATTTCCTGTGATAAAAAATGGTGGTCACAGCTCGGGGGAGGCGACTGAGTCGGTGCAAAAATTAACGCCAAACTTGTGATCTGCGGGCAGCGGCGGAGCCAGCGGACGGGGGAGGGGGCAGAGAGCGCGGTTCATCCCGGGGAGAGGCTCCCAGTCCCCGCTGCGTGTCTGCACGAAGGTGGGTCCGTGTCGGTGGCCACTGTGGCCAGTGAAAATGGCTTCCGAAAACTGCAGGCAGATTGCCAGCTGCCTGCAGATTGAAGCGGAGAAAGCGTGGCGCAGATCCGAGCCCGAACGCGCTCTCTGCGGTAACCCACTCCTGTCGGCCGCTAACCTGCGCAAAGTTAAAGGCAACTTTAGTCTGCGGCGTTCACGTGTCCATGGACCTCGCAGCGTACGTTCAGAGTTTCTTTGTCGGAGCTTCGTGAAGCCACGGAGGGGCAGATCCGTCCGAGACCCACACACTGATCCCCGGCATCTGTCCCTGATCGATGCCGTAGATCAATACTTGATCACACCCACAGCTGCTTTGTATTTCAGTCTGATAATCCCGTGTTCTTATCACGCAGGTGATTGACTGTTATCTTTCCAGGTAGAGTGTGGCTGTAGCAGGGTTATTATGGGATGCATGAAGCAGCAGCAGGACCCTTCAGAGTGTTTATTGCAGGCTCTGCAGCTTTGCATGATTCACTGTTCAGAATAATCCTTCTTTGTGTTACACTGGCCCTGCTCCTGTATTCTCTGACAGAACGCTTTCGTCTGATTGGCCAGCTTCTGTAAGCTTCTGTTTGTTTTGTGACAGTATAACCGGGACGTGTAGGTGCATCAGCAGCGCTCAGGCTAAAAAATAAATCAGCCGCTGGGTCGGAGATGTTGGGAAAATTTGCTGAAAATCATTATTGGGTTCCATGTTTGAACAATACCGTTACATAGAGAATATTCTCAGCAGTCCACATATGCAAACGTCTTTCAGGTTAGTCTTGAGAAGTCAAGCACACCCAGTTTTTTCTTTTTTTAAATTTATTCTCAAAAATGCACATTTTCCCCTGAGCTTTACCCCAGTCACCGGGACGATGCCTCAGAGGTCAAGTCTGAGGCACACGCTGTTCGTCCAGCTCAAGTTTCTGCTTTTTTCTCTTATTATTAGAAAACGATTCCAGGAAATGAGCTTTTGTTTTGGTATGAAACGAACATTTGGATCCAGAATGATTCCCGCGCTCGATGACGGAGCGGCGGCGCGTGGGACTCCCGCAGCACTTTGATGACACGTAGCTGGTGTGGAGAAATGTGAACGATACAAAGAAACGCTTAAACCACGTTTCAGTCTGAGAGCTCATACCTGTGACCTTCACCTGTCCCCGATTCTGAAAAACGGAGCTTCAGTTTGTGAAGAGAAACACGAGTACGAATATCTGATAAACTGACCGTGCTGCGGGAGCAACGAGCGCCTCCTGTGACGCTCTAACGACTGTGTTTATTTTCCACAGACGGGTGTGACGTGGACGACGGACCGGATTTCACCATCATGGTTCCACCATGAGCGAGAACTCGCTGGACCTCTGGTGTAAGCTTCACGTCTGCTCCCTGATTTGTCCCTAGAGCTTGATGTGGCTGATTGAATAATGAATATTTGAATGTTTCCGTGCTCGCGCTCTGAGCCCTAACATGTCGTCATTATCACGCTGACACGTGGAGCTGCTCGTGCGTTTCCTGCACACGTGTATTTGTTCAGTGGTCTGATTCTATCAGAACATGTTAGAAAAGCCTCTGATTGTGCTGCCAGCCACAAACGTTTTACCTCAAACACTCAAAGATGTGGTAAAAACGTTCTGTCCTCTCGTGACGGACGTGAGTGTCAGGATCATTTTGGGCTTTCAATCATTTCTTTGAACAGTTTCTTTGGATTGTACAGCTTTAAAGACTCTAAAGAACAAGTTTCTCTGGTCCAAAGTTCACGTATAGGCTCAAATATATACAGACCCTATGTAATGTTTGGTCATTTAGCAAGTTGTGATCAGACACCTTCAGCAGTCTTCTGACGTGATCCTGTCTGGATAAAACAGCCCAGAGCGTGATGCTACCACCGCCATGCGTCACAGCTGCAGTGTTCTCAGGGTTGAAAGCCTCACCTTTGCTCCTCCAATCAGCTCCATCTTTGTCTCGTCTGACCATCAAACTTTTCTCCAGACGCCGTTTGGCTCGTCCACGTGGGCAGATTTCAGTTGAGCTCGTTGATTTTGGAGCAGGAGCTTCTTTCTTGGTCCATGGAGATGTGAGACTGGCTTCACTGTGGAAGTGACACTGGTGTTCCAGCAGATTCCAGTCCACAGCAGGCTTGATCCTGGGTGTTCCTGCACATCCTAACAGTTTCCTGTCATCTGAGGGCGACAGTCTGGGTCTCTCCCAGACCTCAGTGGGGACAGATCTGAGTCACTTGTGTGATTTTGAACCGTGTTCAGAAACGGCTCAGAGAAACGTGTAAACCAACAGTTCTGCTTTTAGATCTTCACTGAGACGTCTCGATGCGCGCTCAGTCATCCGGGTAAGGAAATCCCAAAAGGCTGATCCTGTTCATCTGGACGTTTTCAGTGGGAGAAACGTTTCATCATCATCAGGCGACTGCAGGTCTCCACCCTTATAAACAGAACATGTGCATAATAGCTGACACCAGCACCACTGACGAACAGCGTGCTGTCAGGTCGGTTTCATGACCTACGTCCAGATGAACAGAATCAACTTTCTGGGACTTCACTGAGTTTGTTGGATTTTCCCTTTGTCTGCACCTGATTTGATGATGTCATTATTTGCACTCTGGTTCAACAACATCTGAATCTCAGGATTGTCTTCTCAAATCTTCCTAAAGTAATAATCTGTTATTAAAGAAGAAGATTTGGAGATAACCTTTATCTGCTGGGTTTGTCCTTCAGTCTGTGAGGAGTGTCAGGACTATTTCCAGAAGGAGTGTCCGTCTCACGGGCCCCCACTGTTCGTCCGGGACACGCACGCAGCCCCGGGGACGGCCAACAGGGCGGCGCTCACGGTCCCATCGGGTTTAGAGGTGTTCAGCGAGGGAGACGAGGTAGATGTTCGCTGCGTGGACGCGATCTACCCGAAGGGGGCGCTGTTTGGGCCGTATGAGGGAGAGCTGGTGTCCAAGGACAGATCCTCAGGATTCTTTTCATGGATCGTAAGCTCGCCACAGACACCAGTTTACAACCAGTTTACAACCAGTTTACAACCAGTTTACAACCAGTATACAACTACTTTCCTTTTGTTCCGGGACGTCTGAATCTGTTTGCTTTCCCGTTTTCAGATTGTTGATGTGCACAACACTTACCAGTCCATCGATGGCAGCGATGAGACCAAAGCCAACTGGATGAGGTGAACTTTAGTCTGAGGTTAACGTCATCCATCACCGCCGGCGTTTGTTTCAGTTGTACCGACGGGTTCTCTTCTACTGAGCCAACAACCTTTCATACATCTCTTTTTTTCTCTTTAATTTCATTTTAAATTTGGGTGCTTGGCAACGCATTCATCACCTCATTAAAACCACAATACCACAGTAAATCTGATTTGCAGGAGTTACTGAGTTACATCTCAGAGGTCAGACTGATCCATGACGGTCTGTCCTGGAGAAACGACCCTCGGCTTTTCTGTCTCTGAACAGGTACGTGCGGACCTCGTTGGAGGAGAGCGACAGGAACCTCACGGCGTTTCAGCACGGTAAAAACATCTACTTCAGAGTCTGCCGGGCGCTGGCGGCCGGAGAGAAGCTGAGGGTCTGGTACAGCGACGATTACATCAGACGACTTCACTGCGTTTCTCAGGAGAGCATCGACCGCAACCTGGACACAGGTGAGGAGGCAGTCGGGTGAAATATTAGAGCAGGTAACAGGAGACGCAGTCACTGAAAATATATCATGAGTTTTAAAATCTCTTCATACAATTTGGAATTTGGATGAAATCTCCCTTTTGTGCATCATCTATATGTCCCCTCTGTAATATTCTGGATATTTGTAATTAGAGACATTTCTTATATTTTGTAAACTTTGTAATATGTTGCATTATTTAATTAGTTCAGTCTGTTACTGTTGTTGTCTTGGAGCAACTGTGACCCACATAGACTCCTCAGGGATTATTCAGATGTCCTGCTCTTGGCTCTCCAGCAGGCGGCGCTGTTTCGCTGTTGCTCTCCTGGGTGCTGGAGTCTTTCTGTGGATCACTTTGTCACCTGTAGAGCACTTTGAACCCACTTTTAGGGGCTTTAAATACCTCAAAAACGGTTTTCTTTCAGGTCCTGGGAAAGACTTCAAGTCCCCGTGCCTGCAGTCAGCTCTGCAGGGCAAACTGAGCAAACAGCCGAGCGAAGAGTCCGACGGTCAGCCTCCGGCCAAGAGAAAGAAGATCGACCTCATCTTCAAAAACGTCCTAGAAGCTTCTTTGGAGGACTCTGGTAAATTCAGGTTCCGGTCTGGCCAAACCAGCGAGTATAAAGTACCAGCCCTGGTTTCGGGGTTTGATTCCTCTGAGAGCGGCTTTGGCGTTCCCAACCTGAAGGTGGAAGAGAAGGAGGAGGAGAACCAGAGCACAGAGAAACCCTCCACCTCCTTCTGCCCCAACTGTGTGAAGCTGAAGAGGAGGATCCTGGAACTGGAGGAGGAGCTGTCCCGTCTCCGAGGAGAACAGGGAGACGCTGCTGCTCCGGCGACGTCCGAACAGACTCAACGCAATCAGGCCCCACCGCACCCCGAGCAAGGCCCCATCGAGGATTTTCAAGGTATGTGAGAGAGCAGGAGGGCAGATGTTCTCTGCAGCGCAGCGGCGTTACCGCTCTGCAGTGTGGCTGTGTTTGACGTGCAGAGTCTAGCAGGCGTGTTTGTTTCGATCACCATCTGAAGCCACATTCACACAAAAAAGACTCTGAAGGTTCGTTTGGCTGTTTGTTTCCACCACAGTCCCACAAAGATTAGTCACATTAGTTAATACCTGCAGACTTTTGCACACATCAGCCACTTTATTAGGAACACCTTGCAAGTAAAATGCAGTCTAATACAGATCAGTACATCCCGCCCACTGACCTCAGTAATGCATTTAAGTGTACCTAATAAAGTGTCTGGTGAGTGTGAATGAGAGAAAACTCAACCGATCAGCGATGTGTGTCGCTGCAGGAGCCCCCCTGAAGTCCGCCCAAGTTCACCACTGAGAGGAGGAAAAGCTCTCTGTCGGGACAGAAAGTTTTCTAGACCGGGCCGCGAGTCGTTTGGTACCAGGCCGCGAGAGTTGATGCTCGGGTGTGAAATTCACGGTTTTCAGGTTTTTATCGTTATTTTCTTTTAATCGTTTTTATTGTTAACTCGCTTTCCCTGGGTCTTTCCCGTGTGTTATGAATAAATCTTCTTTTGGTACCGGTACTGCTTTTATTTTATTGTATTTATCCGCGACACCTTAAAGGCCAGTCCGTGAAAATGTTGTCGGGCATAAACCGGTCCGTGGTGCAGAAAGGGTTGGGGACCTTTGTTCTAGACGGTTCTTGGTTCAGTTCAGTGATTTCATGCAGACAGTTTATTCAAACGTGCCAGCACTGCTGCTAGCTGCTGCAGTTTGTCAGCACATTGCGTGGATGTCACCAGAGATGGGCAGTAACGCGTTACTTGTAACTGCAGAGAGAGTATGAGCGTGCAGCGTTTAACGTGATGGGAAACTCACAGAGAAACTCGCGGATTCTTCCACTGACCGCTGCACACCTGCACCAGGGTAACCCTCCGCCTACCCCACTCCTGCTTTACAGGTGAAAATAGAGCAACAGGACCGCTGAGTCTTTGACTTTATTTATTTTCTGCTGTGTTTTACTTGCATCTATTTGAAAGACTGAGTGTAAACACAAAAAATATTTTATTTTATGAGCTGGAATGTGCAGAAAATAGGTTTAAATGTTAAACGAATTTCTTCCAGTCAGAGAATGTTGCAGATAATTAAATTTTTGCTTGATGCATAAAGTTAAAAGATTAAAACTAATAAAACAAGTTTTAAAAGAAACTTTTCCATTTGATTACATTTTGTATGATGGATTATGCAGAAAAAGTAGAATTGGGCTGAAAGATCTATCACTTTATCACCTGTTCAGGTTGTAAATCGTGTTTTTAAAAAGTAACTAAGTAACTAATTACTTTTGAAAATAAGTAATCAGTAAAGTAACGGGATTACTTTTGTGGGGAAGTAATCAGTAATTAGTTACTGATTACTTTTTTCAAGTAACTTGACCAACACTGGTCGTCACAGACCGCTAGCTCAGCTGATGGTCGGTGCCGAGGCCGCCGCCTCTGTCTTCTGTCAGAAATGTGAATGAACACACAGCCGAGTGCCGTCCTGAGAAGCTGGCTGTCCTGTGAGCTGTGGAGTGGTTCTACTATGACGATCATGACAGCAAAGATATCTGCCAAACGCGAGGAGTGCTCTAAGCATGTGTGAATCCTGTCTATTGGTTGTGGAGCGCTCACGTTGATGCTCCCCACTGTGTTTACAGCAGAGCAGTTGAGATGAGCTGTGCAGCCCCAGAAATCTGCTCAGCTGCTTGATAAAGTCATTCACTCTGCATGATATTAGACATTTGATGTGACTTTAATGCTGGTTACTCTCAGAAGTTGAATAAGTTTCTCTTTGCAGGGATGGAGCCCTTGACACCCACTCAGGTGGTTCTGGACGAAGACGAGCAGGACGTGGACTCTGCCGATGAGTCCATCGCTGCAGATCTTGTGATATCTCCCGAGGACTCGTCGAAGCTTTCCTCCGCAGGAGGCAGACGGATTCGACGCTTCAAGCAGGAGTGGCTGAAAAAGTTCTGGTTCCTCCGTTACTCGCCAACCCTGAATGAGATGTGGTGCCACGTGTGCCGCCAGTACACCGTCCAGTCATCCCGCACCTCAGCTTTCATTATCGGCTCCAAGCAGTTCAAGATCCACACCATCAAGCTGCACAGCCAGAGCAACCTCCACAAGAAGTGTCTGCAGCTGTACAAGCTGCGCATGCATCCGGAAAAGACCGAGGAAATGTGCAAGAACATGATGCTTCTCTTCAACGCAGCGTACCACCTGGCCCTAGAAGGGCGGCCCTTCTCCGACCTCCGTTCATTGGCAGAGCTCCTGAAGAAGTGCGAGCTCAAAGTGGTAGATCAGTATATGAATGAAGGCGACTGTCAGATCCTAATCCACCACATCGCCCGGGCTGTGAAGGAGGATCTCGCAGAGAAGATGCGTCTGTCTCCCTTCCTGAGCGTCATAATGGACGCCCAAAACGATGACCTTTTCTCCGACATGGTGGCGGTCTACGTCCAGTTCGTTACCAACGAGGGCTCCCCAAACACAGAGTTCCTGTCCTTGCAAAGACTGACCGTGGCCAATGTGGATGGGTATCTCCAGGTCATGGATCGTGCCTTTGGTGTCCTAGGCCTCCGGTTTCAGGACTTGCTGGTGGTCGGTTTGGGGGTGGACGGCACCAACATCTCTTCAGGAATGAGAGCAAACCTTTATATAGCTGTCCAAAAAACCTTTCCCTGGATCCTCTGTCTTCCCATCATGATCCATCGACCACATCTGGAAGTTCTGGATGCCATCAGTGGAAAGGAGCTCTCCTGCCTGGAGGACCTGGAAAACAACCTCAAACAGCTTCTCAGTTTTTACCGCTACTCCCCTCGCATGATGGCCGAACTGCGATCCACTGCGCCAACACTGTCAGAGGAGACGGAGTTCCTAGGAGACATCAGAGCCATACGCTGGATCATAGGAGAGCCCAACGTCCTTAATGCGCTCATCAAGGATTACCTGGAGGTCGTTGCACACCTTAAGGAGATCAGTAGCCAGACACAGAGGGCTGACGCTGCGGCCATCGCGCTCACCCTCCTCCAGTTCCTCATGGACTATCAGTCAGTGAAGCTCATCTACTTCCTGCTCGACATCATAGCTATCCTGTCACGATTGGCCTTCACCTTTCAGGGAGAGTACCTGCTGGTGTCGCAGGTGGAAGCCAAGATAGAGGAGGCCATTCAGGAGATAGGCCAGTTGGTGGACTGCCCCGGAGAATATCTGCAGGAGTTTGAGGAAAATTTCAGAGAAAGTTTTAACGGAGTTGCCTTGAAGAACCTGCGCGTTGCAGAGTCCAAGTTTCAGTCCATCAGAGAAAAGATCTGCAACAGGAGCCAAAGCATCCTGTCTCAGAGGTTGGACCTGCAGAGCTGCTCATTTGCCAAAGCCTGCAAGGTGCTGGACCTGTCCACCTGGCCCAGCAACCACGAGGACCTGCAAGCCTACGGGGACGAGGAAATCAAGATTATATTCAACCACCTGGAATCGATTCCCACCGCAGCCCAGGAGGTCTCCCAGACGGAGGCCAGAGGCAGCCTGGTGGTGGAGTGGAAGGATCTGAAAGCAGACTACTACAGTATGAACGGTTTTAAAGAGGTGATCGGCCACATCTGCAGGTACAAGCAACGCTTCCCGCTGCTGAACCGCATCGTGCAGGTCGTCAGGGTCCTGCCCAGCTCCACGGCCTGCTGCGATAAGGGCCGAGGGTCTCTGCAGAAAATGTGCAAGAACAACCGCTCCCGGCTGACCCTGGAACAGATGAACGATCTGCTGACCGTGGCTGTTAATGGACCGCCCATCGCAAACTTTGACGGGAAGCGAGCATTGGACAGCTGGTTCGAGGAAAAGTCCGGCAGCAGCTACTCGCTCTCGGCTGAGGTGTTGAACAGGATGTCGGCGGCTGATCAGAAATGCGTGCTGCACAGCGTTGACGTCAACGCAGAATTCTACCCTGATGTGTAACATGCAGATCCTGTGCTGCTGAAAGATGTGGTGTGCAGCCAAACAAGGGTAGACGCTGAATTCAGAAAAGCCGTGACGTCACAATTACTGCCACCAAATTCAGCTGGAAGAACAAAAGCAGCCAATCGGTGTGAAGAGGCAGAAAATCAAACATCCCAAAAATTCCACTAAAAACTCAAGAAAACCCAAACGAGCCATGTGAGCGCGTCTTGACCTTCAGTGGCCTTTGGCTCGTTCAGTCATCAGGTTCTGGGAACACTTTCTGCACGGCCACCAAAATGTTTGTTGTGAAATTTTAGCTTCATATATCAAAAATGTTTCAACATGTAGGATTTTTAAAATGGCTCTGTAGACTTACTTCCAGCAGCTTTTATCTTTTTTTGCAGTTTGAAATCTGAGGCCATGTTTGAATATGAGTATCTCCAAAACTGTTAAATGTTAAACATACAAGTAGTGGGACTCTCCAACATTTGCTCTCAGAGGTGAAACGTCTGGAAACCTGGAGGCCAGTCGCTTTTCTTTGCGAGCTCCTTAGACGACCGTGACCTGGTGAGAACCTTCACAGACATAATGATATAAAACTTTTCATATGAGAAATAAACTTAGCAAAGCAATTAAGACTTGTGAAAAGGGGATTTCTAGCTCATTTCCCATGATTGGCAGTCGGATACAAGACAAACATGACCTCATAGTGGGTGAAAATAAATATTTAACATATTAAGCTAAAGTTTCACAGCAATCCTTTTACATGTCCAAACTTTTGATCGTGAGACCTTTGGACAAATCGAAGGTGGTCGAGCCGAGAGCCCACGGCGACTGAGATAGACTGAAGAAGCGTTTCTCCACAGAGCTTCAGCCTGCAGTCTGCTCGTTCTGCTCGTGAACGTACGAAAGCTCATCATCAGCTGCATTTAAAGGAGCTACAGAAACACACGTTATGAAGATGAAGGCCTCTGCAGACCAGAGAAAATGTCACATGACCTTTTAACATCCACCAGCTCAACTGGAAATCTTACTAAGACGAACTCCGAGTCAGACTCTCTGTAAAAGGCCTGATCTGACTGCTATGGTATTCTGGTCTCTGTGTGAATGGGTTGCAACCTAATCTCGACCCAAGTGAACAAAAATGACCGCAAAGTGCTTCAAAACGTCCCAAATCGATGCAAAACGACGTCCAAAAGGCTCCGAGAGACCCACGACCTCCACGGAGACACAGACTCACCACCAAGAAACAAACGTCCACAGGGAGGCGGCGAAACAAGAAGCACAAAAACAAGCGACGGAAGACGAGCTGAGCGTGTGCCGTTGTGTTGCTTTCACGTGTCCGTGCTCGGCTGGGAGCCTCCCGCTCCGAGCTGCGCTTGTTCCATGTGATAATGAAGCGCTTGTTGCCACGATAACAGACAGTTTCACATCGGGAACAATCGTTGCTCTCTGCTTTAGCTCATCTGCCAGCAGCTTATTCAGTGTTGTGCCTGACAGGAATGAAAAGCTGGAGTGTGGGGATGTATAAAGGCTTTATATTTCTATTAGAAATGCCCTGCTGCACACGGTCTATACTGTGGTGACTGTACATACTGTAAATGCTGCCAAGCCTGTTTTTAAAGGACAGTGTTTTTCTCTTGAATTGGATGATTGTGCCAAAATGATCGAATGCGAAGAAAAAGGTGCTATCCTGCGACGCCACGCTGTACTTTTGCCATATTTGTTCAGTCTTTAGTGCAGCCAATGATCTATTTTATGTTCCTGATGCCATTTTCCACTGATGTTCTGCAGGAGCAGTTCAGCTTCGGCCAAAGCTTCAGAGGCGTTGTAACAGCTGCATGATCGACTGCTGCTTTCAGCTCCTTCCTAAGCCTGTGTTTTATAATTATTATAAAGGTTTTTTTGCTCATGTTTAATGCAGAAATAAATATGCCATGATGGGAATGATCAGCCTGACTTTATTTTTTATATTTGTCTGAATTTAAATTCATATTTTTGAGAAATTTGTCATTTTTAAAAATTATTTTGCTTCATAAATATGAGCAGCTGATCTTCAGTCCTCCATAGTTTGAGTAGTTTTTCTCAGACTGTAGTTAAAAGATGGATGCAGCTGTTAGTTCTACAGAGAAGCCAACAGGGGGCGACTCTTGTGGTCTGATTGTATAGAATTATATTTGATATATATTTTCATGAATATTGTTCATATTTTCATACAATATTATTTACACCATTTAAAAAATGTTTTTCGTAAAATTTTCAGAAAACATTTAATTACATATTCTGATAATTCATGAATTTGAGATTTAAGCAGATGGCCCCGCCCCTCTCTGGTTCTGCCGGAGGTTTCTTCCTGTTTTTCCTTCACACTGTCGCCAAAACGCTGGCTCATTATTATTGTAGGGTCTTTACCTGAGAATATAAAATGCTTGTGATTTGGTGCAATACAAATAAAATTGAATGAATTAATATTTTTGGTCATATAATTGGTCAATAACAGTCAGCTTTATCTTTTAGTAATTAAAATAAATAAATCTTTGGACGTGTTTTTCTGATCTGTGTAAGAATGTTATTTGAATATTTGAGGGGAAATTTATTACTATTCATTAAATGTTTATTTTCACCAGTAAAATTTTAAAAATATATTTTTTTATTTAATTCTTTTTTCTGTGTTTTTCTAATATTTTCTAAATTACAAAGCGAGTTAGTAAATTACTTTATTGCAAATTATTATTTAATGCTCTCAGTTGCAGTTGCAATCTGAGTTAAATACTCATCTACGGAGCCCCGCAAGGGACAGTGGAGGAAAAAAGATGAAGATGACTCATCTTCATCTTTTTTCCTCCACTGTCCCTTGCGGGGCTCCGTACTCATCTTATACTTCATAATAACATTTAATTAGCAGACATTGGGTCTTATTGATCCTGGGAAGTTACTTTTCCACATGGACGATGTTATACATTATTCGGTGTATTAGATGCTTCTTTTTAATACTCAGCTTCCAGCTTTTAAAACAATGTTCCTAACACTGTAGGTGATTATTATTGTTTGGATGAACTGATCAGATGATGGCGTTAGCTGAAGTTTTCCGTAATTAGTTTAAAATAAATATTTTTAAACTAGTAAAAAGAGCAAATGAAGCAAAGACGACGCATCTTCTTTATTTGTTTGTTTAAAGCCACAAAAATAAGAAAAACCTTTTTCAGTGTTGTAATTACCCGGAACTGCATTTCCCATAATGCCGCGGGGCTGTGAACCGTTAGGAGGACTGACTGCACAATGATGTCATTTTACTCTCTGACGACCGTTGTACTGCGGACAGATCTGCGTCGCGAGCGCTCGGCTAATTATCGTGTGCGCACTCAGACAACTGCCACTACCTCACTGCAAGCTGCTGAAACGTCATCGGGATCTACAGGTGAGCATTTACGTGAACTCAGTGTGTGAGTCTCCGTGTTTACATATCTTTGTGGGGACCAAACACTGGAAGTTTATGGGGACCAATAGTTCCGTCCCCACGAGCCGTCTTTCACACTCAAACTGCAGTTTCAGTGTCAGAGTTCAAGCTGAGGGCCAGGCACTGGTTTTGGATGGTTGGGCAATCAGCTAGGGAAGGGTTATGTCAAAAAGATGTCGTCACTAAGATATGGAAATGTGCGTGTGCGTGCGTGTGTGTGTTTTCCGGTTTGTCGGTGAGCCACAGCTCACCTCAGCTTCCTGCACTCAGCTGCGGCAGTTTTTTGTTTTTTTTTTTATTTATTTTTTATTAGTAATATAAACATACAAACAAAATGCACCATATATTCCAGATTCAGAGAATAAACATTCCTTACATATTAGCAACTTTCATACATAGTGAAAATAAAATATAAAGATGGGGTCACATAAATTAACAGATTATTAACTCACTAAATCAAAATCTTCCACAAAGGAAACAAAAAAAGCAGCCTTTTTCTTTTTAACTAAAGTCA